TAAGTATGAAAAAAAACATAAAGTTTGAAAAAATTGAAAACAATAAAAGTTGGTGTGTAATTTGTATAAAATATGGCACCACTGAGCAATTAGATCTTCCCTCTCACTCTCAGTGGAGCTTTTATCCACCAACCAAACTTTGGAAGAAATTTTACTGGAAAACAAGATTTTGTTTTCTCTGTTTATATCCCTCTTTCTTTTCTTGTCTGAAAAGAGATCTCTGCGGAAAAAAAGATTACTTTTTTCTTTTTGTTTGTCTGTTTAGAGAAGATGTTTGCAGCTGAGAATGGTTTAAGGGGTGACCCAAGGTTGAAGGACATTTATGATGCCATTAGTGTTGTGCCCAACTTTCCTAAACCAGGTCATTTTTCAGTTTTTTCTACATAAAAATTCGATCTTTATTATTGTTTTTTTGTTCGAATTATGTCGGTTCTGTACAGTCTATATCCTGTTTGTTGAAATGCCTGTGTGGCATGTCTGTATTGCTGTGGAGAATTAATTGAATTGTCTTTTTGTTTGCCATTTGTGATTTTCTTTTTGGGGTAATTTTGTTTGCAGGAATTATGTTTCAAGACATAACTACTCTTGTCTCAAATCATATGGCCTTCAAGCATACTGTAGATATCTTTGTTGATAGATACAGGAACATGGATATCTCTGTTGTTGCTGGTAATGCACTATGTCTCTGTAAATGTTTGTCCATATGATTTTTTTTTTCATTTTTTCTGTTTTTTTTCTTTAAAAGTGATGATAAATATGATAAACAGCCCATTTTCTTTAAGATATTGGCTTAAAAGTTTCATGTTCATGTTCTCCAAGATTCTGCACTTTGAAGATCATAATGCCAGAAAAAATAAGTTGTGTGATAAGAGAAGTGTGGGGACAATTTTGTAGAATAAGGATAAATATATTTTTTCGTTTCTTCAATTCTAAGTTGTAGGGAGTGAATAATGAATGGAACAGTGTAATAGTGCAATATGATCTATCATTCTGAAAAGAAGAAATCGAAAAAGTAAAAATGATACAACTACATATGGATAAAAGTTGAAAAGGTGCGGTGAGTGAATATAATTCTTTTGAAACTTTTCATAAACAACCTCACATTGNAAAGTGGGGTAAAAAAAAATTCCGTTTAAAGATTTTCGCTAAGCAGTCACTACACTACTTTTTCCATTTTTGATTGATTTAAGCATTGTTGTTGTAGGAGTCGAAGCCAGAGGCTTTATGTTTGCTCCTTCTATTGCATTGGCAATTGGTGCCAAATTCATTCCTCTGCGTAAGCCCGGGAAGCTTCCGGGTAAAAAGCTCTTCCCCAACTTATATGTTAAATTAAATACTAAAATGTTTGGGGGGAATTATTTGGAAGCCAATCAATCTAAGTAAATAAAATTAATGGATTTTTGCATTGTTTAGGTGAAGTCATTTCTGAAGCATACGAGCTCGAGTATGGTAATGATTGTTTGCAAATGCATGTGGGAGCCCTTGTGAAAGGAGACCGAGCTTTAGTTATAGACGACTTAGTGGCTACAGGAGGGACATTATCTGCAGCCATGAGGCTTTTGGGTTAGTTCTTAAGGTTGATTGTGTATTATATATATAGAATTTGTTCAAAATGCCTTTCCCCCCCTTTTTTTTTATTTTTTAAATTGTGTAGAACGCCAAGGTGCTGAGGTCGTTGAGTGTGCATGCATTATCGGATTGCCTGAGCTAAAGGTAAAAAATCACAAAGTTTTATTTAAT